ATCCTTCTTTCCTTTGCACCTGCTCAAAATCAAAATCCTGAACTGAATTTTGATGGATTCCAGCCAGGCCTTGCTCCACCAAGCATTGACTGCTTCTCCAGGGTTTGTAAAGTTCATTCTGCTGCATCCAGCAGTTTGGTATTGTTAGCTTCATATGATTAGCCAAGTCTTTTAATATTTGCACATGCTTTGTTAATGAATTAGAAACATGGGCTGCTGTATCTATTGCACGAGTTCACCTCTTCACTGATCTATGTGGATTCCCTTCCCTTATGGAGGGTTTGGGTTGTATAACACGTAGTTTCAATGCTTCTTTATTAGGCTTAAAACCCTCATCACCTGGTGATGAGGTTTGGCCTGGCTCATCTTCCTTTGACTTCTTTCTATACTGTACAGGGCACACAAGTTATTCCTGGGTGCTGACAGAATCCACAGACAGATTTGCTAGAAGAATGCCGGTGCCCAAGTGTTGACTAGATGTTACATGCTAAACATGCTTGTAAAACAAATAATAAAATGCAACTCAAAATGTGCAACTAGCTTTAACAATGTCGTGCTTTACTTGTTCTGCTCCTAGTTCTGTGCGTTCTCCTACTCCTGGTAACTACTATTGCAAGAAGTCGAAAACAAAAAACCAAACCAGAACAAGCCCCTAATTCAACCAAACCTGTAAAATGTACATGTGCTTGATGGAGTAATAAGCAAATGTGTTCTTCTCTTCCATGTTTGTGATCTGACAAGATTTCTGGTAAATTTACTTCATAAACTCTTGTGCTTCTATGTAGCATCTAGCCACCATTTAAGTATGCAAAGGCGACAAGGCAGTACGTGTCCCATTTTTGTAGCAGGAACTCACTGAATGAGTTAAAAGCTAAATTTTCCATTTTGAAGATTTCCTTTGTTAAAGTCCACATAAACAACTTCTTGGCTTATACCTTTTATGTTTCAGCTTTTCCCCTCGTTGTACTGATAGCAACATCTAGTGGCAAGATTATCTCATGACAATGCCGTACTTTTGGAAACTGGTCTAGCTCCGTTTACCTCCAGGTAAATCTTCATCTCCGCTAGTGCCAGATTGACTTCGGAATTTGAAAAGAATTTGAACCGCAAGAACTGCAATAGTCCTCTTTGCTGGCTGCATGAAAATCCTTTTATTCAAAGGAGTATCACTGGCAGCCCTACTAATAATTTTTGCAACCCAGGAAAAGCAAATCAAAGTAACAAAACCAAACAGACTCAGTTTGCTGTAATAACAAAACCAAAGCTGCTGATTTTCTTAGTTGAAGTAATGTATCTCCTGTAGAAATTGAGCTGGAATCCTAACACCAACAGTCATGTAGGATAACATTTGCATACCTAAGACCATGATTCCTACATTAAACAAGCTGACTGGGATCCATCTCTTCCACCAGGAGCTCTTGTCAGATCTGCAAGCTGTGAGTCGTAGTTCAGTGTCCAGGTTCACTTATCCAGTAGCTTCCAGTCTTACTGTAATCAAGGATCACCTGAAAAAAGATTTGGTGATGTTCTAGCTGCTGTGCATGTAATTGTGTACCTGATTTTTCTCACGTGTACCTGCAGTTGGTTTGGTGCGTATTGTTAGTAAGTATAGACGTACTGATGGCAGCCAATGCTTTCAGATCTGGCTGTCTACTCACACTGTTCTGCTCCTAAATGAAGGCTGGGTTTCAGAGACTTTGTAGTAGAGTATGTATGCATCTCTACTATGTGGTACCTCTGATTACTGCATATGTATTCCATGTTTCACAGAAGCATTAGACAGAGCCACAGCAGACGTGATAAGGACATACCTGGGATTTCTGGGCATACAATACCATGGTTGAAGTTACTGCGCATAAACAGTAGCTTTGATTCAGTGAAGCTGCAAGAAATACTGGGCAGATGCAGAAGATCTTCAAAATCCATCCGCATAACATTTTGGGTGAAGAGAGAACACATCCAGAACACGCATATGGTTGCATGAAAAAAAAAAATATTTGCAAGCACGTAACCCTCTACTATCCAAGAAAACAGGAGGGCTAGGAAACCAGAAAGCATAGTAAAAAAAAAAGGTGATACTGGGTACCCCAGGGAGCCGTGGGGATAGCTGATGGCATGGTCCACCCAACCTCTTCTCTTATGCTCCAACATGCTCGTTGACTGCAGTGTGCTACAGGTGCTGTGCATTTACACTGTGCCTGAGGTTAGTCAAGGAGTTAAGGCCTCACTCTGAAAATCTTAAAGGGTATTTTAAGTCAGGTTCCAACAGAGGGAGTCTTAATTCTGGAATCACAGACAACATCTTTTCCAAAGTTCCCCCGTAAAGCTGGGAAGGGGCTGCAGCAAAAGCCATTTTCTTCGTGACTGGGGCTACTGCATTTACAAGGATAAGGGAGACCCAAGTTCAACATGGCTTCTGCATCTGAACAAGGATTTGAATCCAAATCTCACCAATTCCCAGATAACTAAGCTACCAAATACCCAGTAGTAGAGATTCTCAATCTGTTCTTAAATTTTGCTCCATTTTCATGTAAGTTAATGAATACTAATGGAGGCAGAGCCTTTTGGATGAACACACAGATGAATGGCTGTTATAATGAGGGAATTGTTTACACTCTTAATTTCAGCCAAATAAATATTTTGAGGTTTTATTGCATAAAATAGCTCTTATATGAAACAGTGCTCTGCTCTAAGCTTTCTGCAAAATGTACTTGCAGGGGGCCAAATTCAAGATAAAATACGTGAGTGCAAGTATCAACAGAAGAGAAGATCTGGCAATGATTTAAGGCTGATACAGAGCTACATGATGGCTCTTTGGTTGATGTTCTGGTCTATAATTCTATATTAGTTCTGGCACCCACATTTTGAAGTGATGTTGAAGAACTGGACAATACAGAGAGAAAAATGATTGAAGATACCAGCTGATGAAATGCTTCAGTTTTTCAAATAGCCCAATTATGGAGCAGACATCTTTGAAGATTTAAAAAAAAAAAAAAAAAAATCCAACTATTTAGAAGTTTTTTTAATCTAGCAAAGAAAGCCAAAAAGCCCTACTCAAAGACACATTCAAGTCAGTAACACAGCAGTTAAATGAAAAGAGCTGGAATGCACTAAAAAATGTATGTCTTCAAATCAGGAAGATTTGCCCAAGCCCAACTAGTTAGACTTGATTTGCACTTGACTTGAAAGCAACTGGGTGAAGTTCTATGGGCTGAGCGGGACAGAGATGAGATGAGATGAGAGAGATGAGATGAGATGAGATGAGATAAATGGTGTAATAATCACTTCAGGACCTAAACCTGATGAATTGTGCGTTAGGTGCCATTGCCTGTCTTCACAGGAGAAACTAGAACTGCAGTCATCATTTGAATACCATGAATAAATAACCATTTTCAACACTTACAGTGACCATTTTCCATTTGATGAAGGCCATTTTCCAAAACAGGCATTAAAATTCATGCAATTTCTCTTCCCAGCTTGCTTGAGGGGATGTTTTGATTCCTGATTAATTTAATAGTCCCAGAGAAACATTAGGGTTTTGGGTTTTTTTTTTGGCCAGACCTACCAGTAAGAAATTTCATTTCAGTTCCTATGGGAAGAGTTTTATGACTGACATGATGACCGAAGATAAAATTCCATCTACACTAGACAGCAGTCTGTTTCTTCTAAAAAAGACTGAGTGTATAATTAAGTTCTGGATTGTGTAGTATTTGTTACAGTTAATACAAACATCTCTCAAACAGTATCTATGCTCAGCCACTGAACAGATAGGCAAAACCAAGGAAGTATTATATAATACTTCAGGCTTTGGAGAAAAAAACCCCAGAAAACCACCAACCAAGCACCTTTACATAGTTATGCGATAGTTGAATGATTTAGTGTCCAAAGAAAAAGTACAGTTATCCTGTGCTCCTGAAAAGCAATTGATCTTTCTTTGTACAGGACAGTGGTATTTTGTAAAACTGGAATTCTCTTTAAAAGAAAAAAAATATAAAATTGAGTAGCAAAAGGTCACAGTAGGTCTAACAGAGAGATCTAATCTTGCTGCCTGACAAATCTTTTCATCCCAACAGTTATATTCCATATGCAAGTGCTGTACTAACATCCAGCAAGAAATACCCACTCCAGAGCTTTATTGACAGAGAACAGGAAGACACAACTTTACTGTAAGATGCGGCAGTGAACTTGTTACTCCTCCAACCCCCTTCCACTGCAGAAGCCATCCCTGATGATACACCAACACATGATGATACAGCCCGCTTAGGATCATCAAGGCTGTGACACCAAAGTGATTTAGCCTACTTTCACTTTCTGCACACATAGCACATGTCAGCTGTACCAGACCACGTGTGCCAGGGTAACACAGTGCTGTCACAGCACTCCAGCCATGTATGCAACATATGCACTCCACATATGCAACAGAGCAGACACTGGTGACCTTTCCCTTCTCCTACATGCAACCTACTTAGGTCAGAGCCCCCATTAGCTGTGTTCATGTCATACTTGGGCCCAAGTTTAAAAATCTTTACAATTCTGCACAACTGCTGGTGTTAACTGTCCAGAAATTGTTTCATGGGAAGAAGGGTTATGATGGGATAAAGGCCTCAGAGAGATCTACTGGTCCCTCTTGACAGCAGGACAGTCACTAGTCTAGTTATTAAGCTGAAGAACCCTTCATGAAGGTGCTAGCAATTGGGGATGGTCCACAAAGCACTGAAACACCCTTTAATTCTATGAAGTAAATCTCTTAACCTTGCCAGCAGACAGCTGTGCTGCACCACACAACACAAACATAAATTTGGAAATGCAGTGCTTTTCAGGCTCACCTGCTGATTATAAAGATGTTCTGGCTCTCTTCTGTCATTCAACAGCAAAACATTTCTTACAGAAGGAAGAGCCAGCTGCCAACAACAAAGATGGCACACCCCAATGTCTCTGAGGTATGCCACTTGCAGATACACATTAAAAAAATCGTAAGCCTTAAATAACAAGCACATAAGTTTTTCCAATCAAAATTTTTATTGACATTCTTGACAAAGTAATCTGAATTTATGATCTTGGTCTCTCCTTCTTGCCCTTGTACAAGGCCAACAGAGAAACATTGGCTACTTTGACAACCTTGAAGCGAACTCCAGGAATGTCACCAACAGCGTGACCCTTCCGACCGAAGCCAGCAACCAGAACTTCATCATTTTCCTGCAATGAAAGACCACGCAATTACAAAGCTATAAACATTAAACCCATACATACTTCTGAAATGGGCGACATTAGAAAGCCTAGGGTGTGGCTCAAATTTAAAGAAAGTGCAGAAATGCTGAAGGCTATTGTACATTAGTAAGACCCTTATCCCCTTCAGCATTTTGGAGAAAGGAAACATAAGCAGAGATGTCATTTAGCTTGCAGCAAGACAGTTGAGAACAGGCTTTGCTAAGGGAGAGGGGAAGTACAAAATCATCTCTCATTTTTTGTCTGCCTCTGTCACTACAGCTTTAAGACACATGTGGTGCAGAATGCCACGAACCCTTGTCTAACCATCCCCCAAATCAGTCAGTTATGTGTGTCTTTACTTTGATATACAACTTCCTACAGATTACTTCTTGAACATTACCTCAATGAAGTTCAGGCAGCCATCATTGGGAACAAAAGCTGTTATTTTTTTACCATTCTTAATCAGCTGGACTCTAACACATTTCCTGATGGCAGAGTTGGGCTGTTTGGCTTCTACTCCTCTAAAATGGAAGCACATGGAAATAAATTAGCAAAGATCAGTTTGATGAACTAGCAGATACTCATTACACCACCACAAATTCCTGTATTACTTTGTACTAAGTGGACGTTGTATCTGTACTTCAAAACCAAAAACTGTTAGTTATCTATTTAGAGCAACTCAGTATGTAAAAGCCCAGTTCCTGAGCTTCAGAAAAATTGAAAACTAAGCACCTACAGACACATACTTATTCAGTAAATAACAATCGGGGGAAGGAACACCTTGAAGTCCTGGCAGTGTCCCAGTGAAGCTTATGAATTATGAAAGGCCAGAAAAAGGCCAGAAGACAAACAGATGGCATCTCTGACACAAGGCACACACACAAAATCCACCCCCCCACCCCAAATCCTAAACTGAGTTAAATGGTATTTTTATTCTTTTGCGTCTCAATAAGCACTTTTTAAAGTGACACGTGTATGAGAAAAAAAAATGGCTTTCAGCACAGCTACTTGGAAAGAAACCACGTTTTTCATCTAGCACACAGACACTGAGAGAAGCGTGGCACCCCACAGGTAGAAATCTCTCAGGTTTTTCGAACACACAATAGCTTAGCAGTGCGTGTCTGCCGAGGTCCCTCGGGAAAGGCCTCGCTTCCCGCGGGCCCTCCCCGCAGCCCGAGGCCCCAGGCCGCGCTCCGGGGCCGCCCAG